GGAAGCAACCTCAACAGGGTGTGATGCCATAAAGTCCATCCTCCAAAGCAGCCATTTTCTCCAGGGGAACTGATCTCTGTCATCTGGAGAGAGCCGTTATAGTTCCAGGTGATCTCTAGCTCTCACCTGGAAGTTGGCAACCCTAGTTCCTCTAGAGGAAATGGCTGCTTTGGGGGTGGCATGATTACCTTGTGAGGTCCCTCCCCTTCTTAATCCCCACCCTTGGTTTGAGCCTGGGTCTCTGAGGTGCTACTCTGAAGTTCTAACCACTACACCACACTGGCTTTCATAGGGTGGCTACTGTTGAATAGTAGCAAGCAGACAGGCCTAGTTGAGTCATGTAAGTCAGCTGGTATGTCACCCAGAGGTTGGGTTGCCAGCCTCCAGGTGGGACCTGGAGATCCCCCAGAATTACAACTGAACTCCAGACAACAGAGATCTGTCCCCCTGGAAAAATGGCTGTTTTAGAGAGTGTGTGACATTCAGTGTTCCCTCTAAGCTGAGTTAGTGTGAGCTAGCTCACAGTTTTTTAGCCTCCGGCTCACACATTTTTGTCCTAGCTCAGGAAGGATGGCTCCAGAGCAAACGAATTCATGCAGTAGCCAAATGGCTCGCTCACAGAGTAGAATTTTTGCTCACAAGACTCCACAGCTTAGAGGGAACACTGGTGACATTATATCCTGCTCACCAGATTCTGCTCTCCTCAGAGTCTATCACAAAACCTCTAGGAATTTCCCAACCTGGAGTGGCAACCTTTGCCCCTGCTTCTGGGGGCTTCAATCTGCCCCTGCTCAGCTGGCCAGTAGAGGAAGCCCTGCCCTAAACCCTGCCCCCAAGAGCAACCAGCCACCCCTCTCCCTCCCCTCCTGACCGATGTAAAGGGCTTTAGCTGATCGGCAGGGCCCACGTGGCCCACTGACCAGCTGGAGGGCCCTTGGAGGGAGGGAGAGGGGAGGTCATGGACTCGCAAAAAGACCCTTTAATCTGGAATTTGTTATAGTCTAGTAACAGCCACTGAGGAAGTCTGTTGCTGATACAGACACGCCTTTTAACATTTTTGTGTTTTTAAAATCCTCCTCCCTTTGTATTTTTTAGATTTCATATTTTTATGCAAACCTGGTCCCTTTTCAGTTTATAGAAAGATCTGCTTTTCCATTCATAGCTCTGGTCGCCACATTTAAGTATCCTCAGATTTTGCTATTAGTATATAGACAAGGGGACCTATGAGAAACTTGGGGGGCAGCTATCCCATTCCCCCATCTTTGCTTCTTTCCTCTCCCCATGCCTCTCTCACACTCTTTCTCTTTTCTGCCACCCCTTTTCTTACTCTCTCTCTCCTCCATGCATGTCACTTCCTCTCTCTTTCTGCCCCCCTATCTGGTTTTTTTTGCCTCCCCATCTTATCATTCATTCTCTGCCCCAGTGGGAGAAATGCCTCCTGGTAGCCCCCCATGTAGATGGCATCCACCCGGCCCCCAACAAGGTTTGCGCCATCACAAATGCACCCACTCCCACAGCCAAGGCCAAGCTGCAGGCTATCTTGGGGCTTCTGAACTTTTACCACTTCTTCCTGCCCCATAAAGCTACACTTGTGGAGCCCTTCCACCACCTGCTCGACAAGAAGGCCTGTGGGTGTGGCCTGTTCCAGGGGCAGTTGTTCTTCCTCCTGGTGGACTCCTACACCAAGTGACTGGAAATCATGCCAGTCGCCTCGACCTCAATGTGTGCAGCCATCTGGGCCCTGAGACAGATTTTTAGTACACGTGGTCTATCGGACACAGTCATGACCAATAACGGGACCACCTTCACCTCGGGAGAGTTCAAGGAGTTCCTGGACCAGAACCTCATCGGGCATGTGCGGTGCACTCCTTTCCACCTGGCTACCAATGGACAAGCCAAACGGATGGTGCAGACAACCAAGGATGCGCTAAAGCTGGCTGTCTTCTTGTTCAGCCATTGGGTGACCCCATGTGTGTCCACCAGCTGCAGCCCCGGAGAACTCTTAATGGGCTGCCACCTCACGATGCAGCTGGACCGCCTGAATCCAGACCGAGCCCCAGAGTTGCGCCACACTCCGGTGATCTAGGAGGCCCCCAGAGGGTTCTTTCCAGGGGACCCTGTCTTCACACAGAACTATTCCAGTGGCCACACATGGATCCTGGCAAGGGTTACTCGAGTCACTGGACCCCTATTGTATGAGGTATCGATGGATGGGGGTCATGTACTACGCAGACACATCGACCAGCTCTGCCGCTGCCTACTGCCCATGGAGCTGGACCTGTCTTCTGCTGAGGAGGAGGAGGATGGCCTGGAACCACCACTGTTGCTGCAGGAATCTGAGAATGGTCCCCCAGACAACAGCATGCAGCCGGATGGCTGGGAAGAGGAAGGTAGTGTACCAGCTACGCCGGACCTCCCGGACTCTGTTCCCGACTCACAGGACACCACTGCGGGTCCTGCTTTACCAAGCATGACTCCAGAGTTGGTTCAACTACCGCGGGAGCCCCAGCATTTGCAGAGGGAACATCGCAAGCCAGCATACCTTGAAGACTATGTCTGTTAAGGTGCTTTGGAATTTATGGGAGAGGGGTGTTATGTACTGGGATTGAATCATTCCTGATTGAATCACCCCAGAGACTGGCTGAATTTGGAGCAAAAGAACAATAGCCTGCCAGGATTCTGAAAGTAACCAGTCTAGTAGTAATGCTGTGTAAATAGCCTATCACTGGGAGTGGGGTGTGTTTGGGTGTGGCAATTGCATGCTATTTAACAGAGCTGAGGCTCTGGAGTCTTGTCTTGTAGTTTTGCTGCAATCACTGAATAAACCAGAGCAGATCTAGAACCCAGTATTTTACAACTGTCTAACCATTTCATCCTTTGCCGTCCCCGTCTTCTTTTACCTTCAGTCTTTCCTAGCATCAGTGTCTTCTCCAGTGAATGTTCCCTTCTCATTTGGTGGCCAAAGTATTTGAGCTTCAGTTTCATTATCTGGCCTTCCAGGGAACAGTCAGGGTTGATTTCTTTTAGGATTGACTGATTTGATCTCCTTGCAGTCCAAGGGACTCTGAAGAGTCTTCTCCAGCACCATAATTCGAAAGCATCTATTCTTCGGTGCTCAGCCTTCCTTATAGTCCAACTCTCGCAGCTGTACATTACTACTGTACAATATTCAGTAGAAACATAGAAGACAATAGAATAAAATACATCATCAGCACTAATACAAAAATCTAAACGCATCAGATGGCGAATTTCACATTACTTCCCATTCTGCACTGCCAACCATCTCGTGGGTGGGGGGGAAGAGGAACAGAGCAAGTCTGAAGAGCAAGGAGAGGGTACCAGCCAGAATGGAAACCATTGCTGTCCTCAACCAGAAGCCTGGCAGAATATCTCCGCCTTACAGGCCCTGCGTAATTGCATAAGATCACACAGGGTCCTGATGGTATTTGGCAGAGAGTTCTACCAGGTCGGAGCCAGGACCGAAAAGGCCCTGGCCGTGGTCAAGGACAGCCGGACATCTTTAGGCCAGGAACCCCCAGCAGATTGCTATCCAAGGAACATAATGCTCTCCTGAGGACACACTGGAGGAGATGGTCTCATAGATATGTCAGTCCCTGACCATTCAAGGCCTTAAAGGTCAGTATCAAAAGCTTGAACTTGACTCGGTAATCCACTGGGAGCCAATGTAGCTGGTGCGGCACAGGTTGTATTTGTGCTGTCCGTGACGTTCCTGTCAGAACTCGCGCCACTGCAATCTAGATCAGCTAGAGCTTCCGGATTAGTCTTAAGGGCAGGCCAGCGTAAAGCGAGTTACAGTAGTCTAGCCTGGAGGTGACTGTTGCATGGATTACCATGGCTAGGTCTGGGCGCAACAGGAAAGGGGCCAATTGCCGAGCCTGGCTCAGGTGAAAAAAAGCCAGCCTGGCAATATGCATGACTTGGGCCTCCATATTCAAGGAGGCATTCAAGATCACACCTAAACTCTTAACAGACTGCGCTGGTGTCAGTGGTGCCCCGTCAAGAGTGGGAAGTCTATGCCCCAGCCTTGAAGCCTGCCCTCCCCCACTGCAGAACCTTCATCTTAGTTGGATTCAATCTCAACCCACTCTTTTTTAACCACCCCACCCCACCACAGCCTCCAGGCCCACGGACAAGTTTTGCAGGGTGGCATCCAGGTGGCCATCCAGTAACAGATACCGATGGGTGTCATCAGTGTAGTGGTGACACCCAAGCCCACAACTCCATGCCAACTGGGCGAGGGGCCACATATAGATAAAGTCATTCTTCTGAATTAAATGACTGCACTTGAAATAATTTGCGCTTAAAGATTTGTATGCCTTGGCACTTTATGGAATCAGGAATCTAAGGCAACACTTTCCCAGATGTCAGGACTTTAGAAAGCTGAAGAGCCAAGTTCTCCAAAGGCATTAATTATTCATTATTTTGACAGTATTATTGATTTCATAATTATCCTTGCTCAGTATTGAGTTTTCAGAGTGGTCTTGGGCAGCTGATTTTTCTCAGCTTCCTTTCCTCCTCCTATCATTTGATCTTAAGTTCACTAGAATATAGAGCGACTATCCTGGGCTGACAGCAACTGCATTACTTTCTTTTAAACAGTAAGCAGTCTCAGGCATCACAGAAGTAGAATGATATATCCAATAGTGCGTACCTGAATCACAGGCTTCTGAGATATTCTGAAGCTTGTGTACAAATTTCCTGGCTGACCTGGGTCTTGTAATTATTCCACATGTCTTTAAGCATGTACAATTCATCTGGTGCTCTGTTTGCCTTATGTATCCTATATGTGCCTTATTAGATATTATACGTGTTATATTTATATTTATTTATTAATTCAATTTATACCCCGCCCTCCCCACGAGCAGGCTCAGGGCGGCTTACATGTTAACAAGATTGATTTTATAACAGGCATTCAGAAATGCTGGATGTATATGCAGTTGTGGATGAAATATGTATTTACTTGATTTCATTGTTTCTAGGCTGAAAGAAATGGAGAAGAAAATGCAATAAATAAAAAAAGGCGTAAAAGTCTTATAAATTTTGAAGAGGTTGGTACTGAATTTAATTCTTGTGGGGTTTCTCCTTCTCCCCCCCCCCAGGCATAAAGGAGGGAGGGATAAGTATTAAAGAGCCCCACATTCAGGCTCTGTGCAAACATTTCTGTGCTCTTACGTATGGAATCTTCTTCCTTGTGTAACAGTCAGTTTAATTTATGTTTAATTGAAAAGGAAAGCTTTAAGTGGCATAACTTCTTCTTTTCATTCAGGTATACTTTTAATAAAAAACTGAAGCAGCACTCCCTTCTAGCAACTCCTCTGGATTCGTCTCTGTTCTTATTTTTGTACATTAATAACCAATTGATTTCTGTTTGTCCAAGTCACATTGGTTCTTACTCTTGCTGAATGGAGACCAGTAAATTCATAAAATATAAACCATGAATTGTGTATTTAAACATAAACAGTCTTCTTTTAAATTTTTCATTCTGAACTGTACTCTAAATGGAATCAACATTTTATGAGTTTGGATTAAACTGACTGACATGCCAAAAAGTTCTTATAGTACAGTATAGTAGAATAGAGTACAGTGTAGTATAGTATAGTATAGGCCCCGGTCACACGGGAGGCTTTGATCCGCAAGAGGGACGGAACGGGGGCACATCAAGCGGGTGCAATCACACCGCAACATCTGGGAAGCGGCGCGCACCCATCCCCAATCCGTCTCTTCCAGCCGAAGATGCGGATTAGGAAAAAACCTATGAAACACTAGTACTTACCGAAAAATCCGCTGCAGGGGCAGACGTGTGATCGCCGGCGCACCCGTCTCTCCCGCAGCATGCGAGCTCCTGCCGAACTGCACATGCATGCGCAGCTGGCTCACCTCGCTCTGCGGTCCGTGGATTCCCCCTGGCATCTGATCGTGCCGGGGAGGAACTGCGCAGCAGCTGGGGGGATCTGTCTGATCCCGCCGCCGCGCTTCTCTTTTGGTGTGGCTCAAAAAACCCACACTTTGGCTGCACCTATTTCCCCCAGTGTGACCGGGGCCGTAGTGTAGTGTAGTGTAGTGTAGTGTAGTGTAGTGTAGTGTAGTGTAGTGTAGTGTAGTGTAGTGTAGTGTAGTATAGTATAGTATAGTATAGTGTATATATTCAGAAGTAAGTCTCATTGTGTTTAATGGGTCTTACTCCCAGGCAAGTGTACACAGGATTGCAGCCTTATGAAAAGAGTGAGGGAAACTGCCTTTCTCATATTAGTAATCAGGCTAGATCCATGTTCAAAATGAAGACTGGCCCTCTCCGAGAAGAAGGTGTGAGTTTCTCTATGACCCTCAGCTTACTTCTTTTGCTGGGTCAAAAAAGTGAAATGTACCTGTTTATGACTGCACTTGGGTGTATTGCATCCTTGATTGTACGTGGGAACATCCTCTTTCTTCACTAACTTATTGTTTTCTATCCTTTTGTATTCCTCCCTGAAAACACTTGTGGCCCACATATTTTTGTGTTTAATTTTGAAAGCACAGATCATTCCGTTTCAAATCCTATTCATGTTTTTAATTCAGTTTTACTGCGGTAGATTCAGTGGCCTGTCCGTTTCTAGGAATGGCTCTGGTATATATTGAACAATAACTAAAATAAGTAGTGGGAGTAAGAGGCACAGTAATGGCACAGTCTTTATGCCGCATGGGGGTTCTCTGGTTTTAAAACATCAAATAACTGGTATTGATTTACTGGTCATGATGCCCTGATAAACTGTCCCAAGCCCTTCCTGTTGCTTAGAATTTAAACACCTGTCACTTTTTTCCCCCCTGGTTGGTTAAAGTCTTCAAGTTTTTTGAACCGAGGAACAAATCCTGGGAACCAGCTGGGGGATGTGAAAGAAGTAGTTAATCGAAACAAAGTGAAGTCCATGGCAACTCAGCTCTTAGCCAAGTTTGAAGGAAATGCTCCCAATGTGTCACTACGGAGGCAGGTGAGTAAAAAAATAACTATAAAATTTACCTTTAGATTGCCATGTAAATCAGGGTGTCCGGGAACCCAGTACCTGAAGAATTTCTTTGAATGACTTGCGTATGTTATATCTACATGGGTTTTGGGCTCTACTGGTAGCAGGAGCTCCTTTGCATATTAGGCCACACCCCCTAGTGTAGCCAATCCTCCAAGAGCTTACAGAGCTCTTCTTACTGGGGCTACTGTAAGCTCTTGGAGGATTGGCTACACTAGGGGTGTGTGGCCTAATATGCAAAGGAGCTCCTGCTACCAGTAGAGCCCTGGTTAGATGCTCCAAATGCACATGCACAGCAATATGTATTGAGTCATACATAGAATGGCTCTTGTGGCAAATGCATTCTGTGGGAGTTACCGTGTGCATAGCAGATTGCTAGACTGGGGACAGAAAGCTGTGACCATTACAACATGCAGGTGAGAGGAAGTACAAGTCGCTCATGGGTTCCATTGTACTCCTTATGTAACTTTTCAGTCCAAACAAGATGCTTGAATCTACAAGGTGCAAACTTGAGTATCTTCTCCAGAGTGAAACGTATTCCCACTTGAAATGTTACAAATGTAAGACTCCTATGTTCCCTTCCATGTTCCTGGAATATCTGCAGTGCCGGATAAGTTGCTGTTAGCCTGACTTTGTATTGGCATGGTTTAATAGCATAATTTTATAGTATTTTCTTTGCTAACATACTGCCTACAAAGATAAATTCAATTCATTATAAGTCAATAAAAGTTCTGCTACATGATTGTATGGCTCCCCACAGTTAGCTTTTCATGGCACTTTAGTTTCAGTGCAATTGTGACATAACTATTTTTTGTCCGCACTCACCCAAGGCCAGCACAGACTGAGAGGCTCACTGTCTGGCGGCAGCCCATTAACCCTCCCAGGAGCAGACTGAAATGAAAACTTGGGCCTTCAGGTCCATGTGGAGGCCCCTCCCCTCCCGAATGACCTGGCTGCTTATTGGTTGTTTCGTTCAAAGCCAGGTTTTGCCTGCTGCCCCCACAAGCCACTCCCAAAGAATCCGTGATTGGCCTCCTTCTTCCCTCTCTCACTCCCAAACCCCCCCCCCCAGTTGCAAAAGCAGCCCCGGGTGAGTCTGGGGCTGTCATTTCTCATAAATGATTTAGGGTTTAATCCTGCATATTGAATACATGTGCCAAATACAACAGAATTAGGTCTTATATGGATGTTTTAAAGGCAGAATCCTACAGGATCCTTTTTGTGGGTTTTTATAATTATAGTTTTATTTTCAGTGCAGTTAATTGCAAAACAACTTGTAATGTACATTGATATAACATTTTATTTGTATGAATATCAAATAATTTTTGTATCTCTCCATGGGCACAATCCAGAAAATTGTATATCTAATACCACAGTGTGGAGTGACATTGACCTTTTGGGGGATCATTTAGCAAGGACCCTGCAATTCATAGTAAGCTGGTTTGGGGTATCAAGAGAATGTCAAAAGGAGGTTGCAGTGCAGCATGGGCGCTGCTATTTCAGGAAAAAACTCAGGGCTCTGCTGGGCCATTGCAAACTGTCTGGTACGCCCCAATGAGCCCTCTGCATTGTCCCCTTACAAACCCTTACAGTGGTCAAGATCAGTTTATCAGTGTTCTGATGTATGTTCATTGACATGTCTGTGTATTAGCCAATATCAGATCTCTGTGTAGGAGCCATATGGTTTATGAAACATAACCTTTAAAAAAAATTAAACACCACTCATGATAATGTTGGGGTTTAATTTTTTTTTTTTGTTATACTTTGATTTAGCTAAAACTGACTACGGACAAATTAGTTTATTACAACAACAGCATCCGTAATTGTTTTCTTGGGAGCCATGGCTATCAGGTTTGTTCACCGTCAAGTTATGGCTTTGTTGAAGCCATAATTTATTGTCAGATTATGGCTTTGTCTTAGGACCGTTTCTTATGTTGCTTTTCAAAATGTGTGTGTGTGTGTGTTGCTGTGTACATGCACCCGACAAGTGATCACCAGTATCTTTAAGTATCATGACCATGTGTCTCTTGTTGTGACGCGAGAAAACTCCTGTAAAAGCTGGGTAAAGCTTTTAAAAGCTCTGGCATGGGTATGGTATCTGTTCTCCAAAACTGGCATGTATCATGAGGAAGAGTCTGGGATGATCTGAGAGAAAAGACAGCATCAGATCAGCCTTAAAAAGGGTCTTTAGTTTATTTATTTATTTTATTTTATTTGTATCCCGCCCTCCCCGAAGGCTCAGGGCGGCTAACAAGGGCATAAATGCCTAGTAAAACAATAAAAACAATATAAAAATACAATACAATATACAACATAATACAATCAATAAAATAACGGTGCTCCACTACTCACTCCAATTCATAAATCAAGATAGTGTTCTGCAGCTGTATATCAATCCAACGACCAGATATATGTCCCCGCAGCCCTATCATCCGCCAGGCACGTCTCGCACCCCTGATGGTACCTGCACCAGCGTTGGTAAGGGTACGGTGATGGGAAAAGTGTTGGTGGAATAATGGTGGTGGCGGCTCCTACCCGAAAGACTGGTGGAAGAGCTCCGTTTTGCAGGCCCTGCGGAACTGCCCAAGGTCCCGCAGGGTCCAGATCTCTTCTGGGAGCTCATTCCACCAGGTAGGAGCCGCCACCGAAAATGCCCTGGCACAGCAAGTTTGATGTTCTAGTTGCACTAGAAGTTCTCTGTTTGTAGTTATTTGAAGATCTTGCACTGAATGTAAAATAAATTAAGAGTGGTTTCAAGCAGTGGAAATGTACTGAATGAAGTCAGTATGTGTAAACTGCTGTTATTGTTCTCATATAGCCCTGCTGCCACACAGGGCCCTGTAACGTGTAAGCTGCACGCATTCTTGGCATGCAGTCAACCCAATTTTACATGGTAAGCAGCTTTTAAACATTACAGGTCCCTGAGGAAGCAGGAAGCCTCAGCATCTGATTTGGCCCAGAATCTTTTGTTGCTCATTCAGCAGTCCACATTCTGGATCTATTTAAGCCCTTGTTACCTTTAAGGGACACTGCTATGTAATGCCCGGGCTACATAGTAAAGTCTATTATCCAACTATTCCCAGTGGATTTAAACTTGTCCTGCAAATAAAGTCTGCAGAGCTTTCTAGCTTGTAAAAATATTTAGTATCCCACCTATGCATGTATATTATGTAAGGAATATACATGTATATTATGTAAGTAACAAAACCTCTTCCTGATTGTATGGTGATCATTCACGGTTGCTGCACATAACCAGGCTAGTGAGAACTCAACACGCCCTCCCTACTCAAAACTTGGCTCTTTAAACATTTCAGATTGATTTTTAAAAATCCTGGCAGCTGGATTTGGAATAGTACTGTGGTTTTGTGTACGGCAATTCATTCTGGTGATAGTTAGTGCCACTTAGCTCAGAAAATGGTTCCCGGCCTTGACTCTGTCACCTATAAAGCCCTTAAGGCACTCAACCCATGTACCTGGAGCACTGCCTCTCCTGCTGTCTCCTGCTGTAACAGCTTTGCTCATCTGAGCAAGGCATTCTGAAGGTGCCACCCTGCAAACAGGCCAAATCAGCGACTGGCCCTTCACATGCATTCTCTTGTGGTGACTCCTACGTTATGGAGTGGTCTGCCTGAAGATATTAGGAAGTCCCCACACCTCTAGAATTTCATCAAATGTGTAAAATGGAATTGTTCAGGAGTGTATTCTTGTAAGCGGAGAGGGATAAAAGTTGCAGTGTAATTTTTTTAAAACAATTTTATTAGAAGATAAGTCAAATATACATAAACAAGATTACTGTAAACATTAATACATATTGTAAATGCAAATTCATTGAACACAATGCCATCTATAAACTTGTCAGCAGGAGCAGGAACTTCTTATTACTGTGACCTTGTCACTTTCTTGTTATTTTCCACTTGTTCTACTAGAGTAGTAACGTATAATAAATCCAGATATATTTTAGAAGGACCTTAAAAGTATTTTATGAAAGTGCTCGAACCATAAAAAATTCTCATAGATGTATCCAATCTGCATAGCTAGTATTTGCTGGTAATACATCGTTTTCTGTAAAATATGTTATAAGAGGACAGCATTTTTGAATGAATCTGGAATGAGACCGCACATACCCTTGTGTGTGGGACTCATATTTATCTGCTACTTTATCCATCACAAAGTGGTCCCAACATTTATTTCTCCATTGAGCAATAGAAGGAGGATCAGGATTTTTCCACGAGGCAGCAATAGAAAGCCGTGCCGTGGCTATTAATGTGGCGGCTAATTCAGTAATTTTTACTGCAGTGTAATTGAGAAGCTCACCAGGTGACTTACGTTAGGGATAAAAGTTTCCTACACTGATTGTCTTGTTCCCTTGTTTGCTTGCAGTGTTGTTGTTGTTGTGTGTGTGTGTCCCCCATTCTGCAGTCCTAACCCAACTGCATTATTGTGTTTTACTAGGAATCTTTGCTGTCGGATTCAAATTTTGTTATATCTTGGAATTCTCTTACTGATTGACTGGTATATTTTATTGTCCATTTACTGAAAAGGTTTTTTTAATCATTCATAATCCACTTTGAGTCCCAGGGAGAAAAGCAGACTATAAATTAGGATAATAATAATAGTTGTGTGTGGAATGTTGAACATTAAGTCGCTGTTTAGTTTATAGCATTGTATGGATTCCAAAATAATTTGCATTTATAAAATAAAATGTAAAAAAATGCAATTTATTTGTAAACTCCAGATTAGTCAAAGCCCCACAATTGCCTTTTGAAAGTATTTCCTCCTTTTCTTTGAGAAATATTTCACGATCCTGTTCCTGCTCTTCATGAAATATTCCTCCTTCTTCTGTGGGCTCCTCAAACTATTTTTCTGTTTAAGGAGTTAGTAGATAAACCAGCTTCTGATCCTCCTGTAAATCCTCGCTTTGCTAAACCCAGAGATCCAACCTGTAGCCCTCCATCTCCACTGAAAAGGCAGGTATGAATTCATAAGAGAATATACTCTTGCAGACAAAGTGCATTGTGATCTTTATTGCTGCAAAGCATGATGGCTGATACACCTGATGAACTCCTTATTTCAGCAGATGTTAGTGATGGTTAAACTACCAAATGTCTGGTTCATACACTCACGTTATCATGCTGGCATGTGGCTGATTTGATCTCTGTTGTACTTCTCTTATTACTCTTGTTACCTAGTTGCTTGACTGGACACTATTAGGTGATCAATATTTATCCTCCAGGTTTCCTTACCTTTTAGTGTACCATGCTAAAAGGGTCATATAGATTTGGCTCTTAATGGCTTTAAAAGGATAGACTGTTTCAGTACACAGTAAGAGACTCCTAACAAACCAGATCCAGTGCATGGGTTGTACACATTATGGTAGCTGTAAATGTTATTTCTGAAGTCTGGAAAGCAAAGGTTTGAGCAATATTTGATGCATGGTTTACGTATGCTGTCAATGTACTGCTGTAATGAGAACTTTATGCTCTAAGTGCAGCATTTGGTATGATTGGATGACCTGAAAGTTGGTAGAAGATATGAAGTGCATCATCAGAAAAATGCCCAGTGATAGACAAGATTGTCCAGTTTTTTTAAAAAATCTATTAAACAGAGTTCTGTGGTTAAAGTTGTCTGAATAGTTTCCCATGCATTTCACTTACTCACTTTGGATTATGCTGTTGTCTTGGCATGCAATATAAACCAAGATAGCCTGCTGGAAAATGTAGCTAGCTGGAAAATGTGAACTTAACTGTCCCACTTCTACATGAGAAAAGGGGACAAATTATTTGAAACATCCTAGCAGTAACTACAGTTGTACTTAAATTCAGGTGGGTAGCCAAGTTGGTCTGAAGCAGCAGAATAGAGTGTGAATCCAGTGGCACCTTTAAGACCAACCCTGGCTCCGGTCACACGGGAAGGAAACTGCGGAGGGGAAGCGTGGCTGTTTGCCCCGGGGCAAACTAACGTCCAGTTAAGTGATCAGACCTCCTGTGGAGGTTCTGTGGAGGTACCGTGGAGGTTCTGTGGGAAGGGAGAGGTGCCGATCACAGGACACGCCTGCGCGCAACGAAGAAGCGCACGGTGCGGCAAACTGGTTTTCTTTTTTTGTGTACACGATGAATGTGCATGCTCCGTTGGGTGCGTGTGCGCATCCACGGAGACTTGGAAAAAAACCAAACACCTTTTTCGCAAGGGGACATGGGCGGGCGCCAGATGCCACCGGAAACGCGATCAGGCGCCTGCCCTTGCCCCGCAGTTTCCGGAAACTAGTACCTCCGAGGTACTAGTTTTTTGCTGCGTGTTTTTGGCGGGAAGCCTCCGTTGTGCCACAGAAGCGCTACGCTTCCCAGATGTGCCGGTGAGATCGCGCCCGGAAACTCCGCCTGTCTTCCGTCTCTCTTGCATGGCTAATGTTCCGTGTGACCGCAGCCCCTGAATAAAACTTTGTTGGTCTTAAAGGTGCCACTGGACTCAAACTTTGTTTTACAGTTGTACTTATAATTCTGTACACTGGGAATCTTTTCTAGGCTTGGAACGGGAAAGGACAAGGGACAAGGCAAGGTACCCTTTGGGATCTAAAGTATTTCTAATAGAGTCCAGCTTTTTCTTTAAAATCTCCAGAGGGAAATACCACAATTGGAGTATTTGCATTTAAATAAATAAAGTTTGTTGCATGATTGCTGTGGTGGTGTAGGTACAGCATGATCTGTACTATTATGAAAAGCCTTTCTTTTCATGAGGATACACAATGTATTGAGGCTGCCAATAATAATGTAACAATGGTAAGTGTTTGTGGTCAAAGCATTTCTTGTACATTAGCTCAACCATTCTTTCTGCAACCCTGAGGTAGATCTGTATTAGAGCATCTGCACTGTAGATGGGGGAGGAGCAGAGGAAAAGGTTGAATGAGGGGCTTCCTTAAGGCTACCCAGTATGGTAATAGTTGTGGTGAGATTTTAATCAGTGGCTGACACAGGGCATTTTTTGTAGAAAAAGCCCAGCAGGAATTCATTAGCATAATAGGCCACACCCAACAGCAGAAACTCATAAGCATATTAGGCCACACCTTGACAGCACCGCTCATTAGCATATTAGGCCACACCCCCATGTTACCAGAAATGTGGTCATCCAGCCACACCCACCCTTTAATTCTTATTCTGTTTATCTTGTTTGTTGTCAAAACCCAGAGCTTTTTTTGTAGCAGGAACTTCTTTGCATGTTAGGCCACACACCCCTAATGTAGCCAATCCTAATGAGTTTCTGCTGTTGGGTGTGGCCTATTATGCTAATGAGTTCCTGCTGGGTGTGGCCAACTCGGGAGCCAGCCAGAACTCCGTTCCTGTGCGTTCCTGCCCAAAAATAGCCCTGGGCTTACTGATTCTTAGTTCATTAGCTGTGATAAGGGTGGCGGAAGTCCCAAGTTGTCATCTTATAAGCTCCACTATCTACATGAGTGGTATATAATACTGCCTGTTAACATTTTCAAGTTCTTTGAAGCCTGTAGAGAGAGGTATTCCCCGTGCATGAGGTGTCTCTCTGTATAGGAGCACATTCCAGCCTGTTTCAATATAGCATGTGCTTTGATGGTACAGAGAACATTTTTTTTCTCATGTTAAGTGTTTCCCAGTTTCAGGCAGTAGCTAGGGCTCAACATGCGGTCAGGGATCCCACACAGTCTTTGCCTGGTGGTGGGCCAGTGCCTGGGCATCCGAGGTGTGTAGAACGGGCTGCTCTGGAGTCCAACCTTTCTGAATCCCTTGCATCTTCCTGCCCTGCTGCATTTGCACTGTCTGGTGTGCTTCAACGCCTTCAACACGTGGAGGAAAAATTTAATCAGGTGACAATCTCTTCCTCTGTTTCCTTTCTGCTTTGTCTTTCTGTTCTTTTAAGGACACGTTCATATTGCCAAACCATCCCAAAGTGAGCCTGTTCACTCTATGGCAAAGTGCACATTTTAGCTATCACATATTCCTTTCTATCTTGCCATCTATATGTACATTTTTGTCCATGAAAATGTACACATTTTATGTAGGGTGAAGACTGGTGTAATATGTGTAGGACAGTAAAGCTGGGTTGGAAGATTTCTCACTGTGTTTAGTACAAACGATCTTCAGGGTTGATTTCCAGGTGGGGGGGAAATGGCTAAGAAAAGTTTTCATTGAAACCTAGTTGTGAAAATTACTGATTATTTGTGGAACTCCAGCAATATTTTTAAAGCTGTAAAATTACTCTAGAAATGTACCTGTGGCATCAAGACATACATGACCCCATCCTCAGAGCAGTTTTGTTAGTTTTAAACATTTGCATGGGTGAAGGGTGAACATATAAACAGCTGCTGTACTTTAAAAATAAAAACCGTACTGTGGGTAGCCTGTCTGAAACACGGCCAACCCAGTATTTGACTTCATACAACGTACAACAGCCATGGGTACTGCGTACCTGGAAGGATGTCAGGCTCACACAGCAAGTGAAGACCCTGCTGTGACTACTAATTAAATATTACATCTGGCTTCACCCACAGAATACTCATATATGAAGGCTGCCATCTCTTACTATTCCCTTCCACTGTTTTGTTTCCTGTGCTGATTTTCTGTTCGCTAATTAAGGAACTGTTTTTCCCTCCCCAATGCAGAATTTCTGAATTGTACTGTGTCTACCTTTTCTCAATAACTGAAATCTTTATTCTGTTCTTTTTTTCTTTCTGTTCGCTAATTAAGGAACTGTTTCCCCCTCCCCAATACAGAATTTCTGAATTGTACTGTGTCTACCTTTTCTCAATAACTGAAATCTTTATTCTGTGTACCTGTCTTTTACCTATTGCTGCAGAAGAGAGCTCAGTCCATAGCAAATAGAGAGTTTCATAAAAAGAACATTAAAGAAAAAGCAGCTCATCTTGCATCAATGTTTGGATATGTCGACCTCCCCAAGGTGAATACTGTGTTTGCTGCCGATGCAACAAAATAGATAGGGGGAAATTTTCATCTCAAATAATGAAAGTGCTCGTTCGTGGCTAATCAATATTTCATTAATATCTGGAGAGAAAACTGAGGAGGTGAATAGCAGTTAGGCCGCAGCCTACCATAAGAGTTTCACAGGCTTAAGCCTATTGAAACCAGTGGGCTAAAGTCCACTTACCCCTCCGGACTGTGTCCTTTATAATTTCTTCAGGAATTGAGTGCATGGCTGTGCAGTACCGTTGCTTTAACACTCATTCATCTAGAGATCATCTGGGCTAATTTTCCTCTTTCTGCTCTGTACAGAATAAACTTCCTACTAAAGGTCTCTCCCATTCTCAGCCCCCACCTCCCTCTTGCCTTTCATCTTATGACTCCGCTGCTTCCTCTTCATCATCTATTGACTCCGCTTCCCCTGCTGTTCATTCTAAAAAGGTATTCTGTTAACAGATTCCATGTCAAATTCAGACTGTCACTAAAAAAAAAGAAAAGAAAAAACTGCACCAGGTTGGCTTTGACTTTTAAGGCTTAACTCTGCACAGAAAATGTGTGTGGGTTTGTGCTGCATTTTGCTTGAAAGTATGGGCTCGTTCGTTTGCATGCTAGTCAGAATAAAAGAGATGAGAATAGTTTGTGAGTAACACTGAGTTATTGCTAGTTCCTTTTTCTGAAGTAGCATCAAAACCAGCACTGTTTCAATTTTTAGAAATCATGTACCACATTAAAGAAGCTGTTAACTTTATCTCACTATGTAAAATACTCAGGGAGAGAATGATAAACTGAAGAACTGGTGGGGTGAGTGGTATCTGTTGCTGTTTAGGTGGCCTGTTGAATATAGGGGTATAAGTTCTGGGAGGGCTGATGTCTCTGCATTGAAAGCCCTGTCCCTTGACTACATCTGACTCTGACTTCAAGGCCCTCTCTGTTATTTTAACTTTCCAAGCAAAAAACCTTGTTTAACTCTCTGCTTAGCTAGGGCAGTGAACACACGGTTTACTTTACACTCAATAAAAATATAAAGAGTTAAAATAAGACCCAAGATTTTGCATACCCGTTAACTTTATAAAACTGTGTCTGGAAGGCTTGCTGTCTAATCACTGTTGTTAGAAGGATGTTTACTCAGTGATACTGACTCCTCTGCTCATATCCCAGGGATGAACTCTAGTCAGTCCTACTTGAATGGATCTTTAGTTCGTATTAGAAGAGTCCGTGTAAATCCTTTTATGTATTTGCTGGTTCTTGAAAGCATATTGAAAATACTGGAAGTATACATTTATTAGGAGCTCTGGCCTATGAGATCATTAGCTTCAGAGCCTAAGATAAATCCTTGGTTATCTGAAGTTAAACTACAATGCCCTTAAGGCTTGCAGGCTATGTCTGTATAATTTGTATGGGCTTGTTACATGCTGCTTGTAAATATATACATCTTGTGGAAAGTTTCCAAAACTGCTTCCTCCCCCCTTCTTTTTCAGATATGGAAAAGCCTGGTTCATCTGGTGCTGTAACATAGTCAGTTTCAGGAAGCTTTAGCCTGTCAGTGATAGCAGTGATTCGGTCTTCTAATACAGTAACCCCCTCTTCAAGTGAATAAATATAATATAGCCTAGAGCAACGCCGTAACTAGGGAATTTGGGGGGAGGGGGCCTCGTGGGGGGGTCACCAGCCTGTCAGTGATAGCAGTGATTCAGTCTTCTAATACAGTAACCCCCTCTTCAAGTGAATAAATATAATATAGCCTAGAGCAACACCGTAACTAGGGAATTTTTGGGGAGGGGGCCTCGTGGGGGGGGCCACCAGCTAATTAAATCAAAACACAGTGCAGATGGTAAGTTGGGGCACTTTGGGAATAGGAGGGGGCCCAGAAGAAACACTAGGGGGTCGGACCCCATGGGTTCCACATTACTTACGGGCCAGGCCTAGAGCCTGTTTTACAGGGCTTATCTAATTGCCGTTGCTGTTTCTGCTGCTAGTTTAGTATGGGAAAGTTAGACGTGTCTTTGAGAATAGCTTTCAGTTGTGAAGTAGTTTCATGAAGGCCTCAGAGATAGAACTGAAGGAATGAGAGTAAGACGTTCTGCTGGAGAATAGTTCTCGGAGTCATGCATTCCTCCTAAAGCCTACCTTTCCTGTTGTTGCATGCATTCAGTTATTTCCCCCCCTTTTTTTCCTCTGCCTTGTATACTATTTGTGCAACAGTCCAATGAGTCATTAAACCATTCTGGTGTTCTTGCCAAAAATGACAGAGAACTGGACCACAGTATGAAGGAGGAAAGTAACATGCTGATAATAGTGATTTTGAGTTCAGAGATGTTCTGAACTATTTGAAGAGGACTTGTCCTTTTATCCCATGACTATTGAGTTTACTTAGGAGCCTTTGATGAGGAACTTTATCAAAAGCTTTCTGGAAGTCAAGGTAAACAACATCTATTGGGTCCCCCGTGTCCATATATTTGTTTACCCCCTCAAAGAACATTAATAGGTTAGTGAAACAGAACCCATGCTGAGTCTGCCTCAATAGTTTTGGGTCATCAATGTGCCTACTAATTCTTTCCTTAAAAAATAGTTTCCACCAACTTACCTGGTATCGATGTACAGACTGACTGGCCTGTAATTTCCTGGATCTCCTCTGGAACCCTTTTTAAAGATGGGATGACCTTAGCTACCTTCCAGTCCTCAGGAATGGAGGCAGGTTTTAATGAAAGATTACATATTTTTGTCAGGAGAACCACAAGTTCACATTTGAGTTCTTTCAGAACTCTCGGATGTATGCCATCTGGGCCTGGTGATTTATTAGTTTTTAAGTTGTCTAACAGTCATAGGTCCTCCTCTCCCATCACCTCAATCTGACTCAGGTCTTTCAACACCCCTCCCGAACTCAGCGGCTCTGGAGTGGGCAAGCACTTCTCATCTTCCACAGTGAAGACAGAGACAAAAATTGCATTCAGCTTCTCAGCCATTTCCCTATCCTTCTTCAGTACTCCTTTTACCCCTTGGTCATCCAAGGGCCCCACTGCCTCCCTGGCTGGTTTCCTGCTTCTAATGTATTTGAAGAAAAGAAATCAGTGGTTTGGAGTGGGCAAGCACTTCTCATCTTCCACAGTGAAAACAGAGACAAAAATTGCATTCAGCTTCTCAGCCATTTCCCTATCCTTCTTCAGTACTCCTTTTACCCCTTGGTCATCCAAGGGCCCCACTGCCTCCCTGGCTGGTTTCCTGCTTCTAATGTATTTGAAGAAAGTTTTATTGTTGGCCTTTATGTTTTTTGCTATATGTTCCTCATAGTCCCTTTTTGCCTGCCTGATCGCAGACTTGCGTTTTACTTGCCACAGCCTGTGTTCCCTTTTATCAACCTCACTGAGACAAGCTTTTCACCGCTTAAAGGAATCCTTC